CCCCAAAACCCCAAAACCCCAAAACCCCTAACTCATATTTTAAGATTGTAATATTGCTTCTCACTGTTTTAATAATTAGATAAGCATTACATGTATCCTTACCAAATCAACAACTATCAGTGAAAAATGAACTTTAAAGTGACTCTCAAACTACTTGGAAATGAGATCCTTGAAAATGGAATAACTCCTGGAGGATATATCACTCCTGGAGGTCCAACCCCAGGAGGCCCAACTCCAGGAGGCCCAGAAACCACAGAGATTTGTAAACAGGAGGAAAACCTTCACATCCTTGCCAAGAATCAGGATAATCTTGATGAGTACGAAGTCAAAACTGATTTTAACCCAGAGCATTTCCTTAAACTTCAAAAGTGGACTAACAACGGAAAGTACGAGATTGAAGAAGTCAATAAAAACATGATTAAGCTCACCATTGAAGTCTGTACTTTCTATTTGAAGAAGAACAACAAGACTAATAATCAGTTGATTAGAGGTGAAATTACAGACCTAAAGAAGTCTTCTGATACCATTCTGAGAGACATTAAGCTGTTCAATTACTACTTCCTTAATCATTGGAAGGAGAAGTATAGAATCATGATGAAAGAGAAGGAGTTCATCCGTAGCCCATGCATTGACAACCCTCAGAACTTGTACAACCTCACTGATGGGGTTGGATTTTCAGAAGAAAATGACCAAATGGATGAAAAGACCTTCTACATTGGCTTTAAACAGCCTCTTCATGTTCACATGAATGGAAAAGGGTACAACCTGAAACACCTGAAAAGTTTAAGTGATGAGGAGAGAAAGACCACTGCCTTTATTAACGGCAAGGGGAAAGACTATGACCTCGTAGAGATAGACTCTGTGTTCTCCCACAAGATGATGATTGAAGGACACCCTACCCCCTATTACATGCACAGAGTGGCCACTCCTGTGATGATCAAGGAGACTTATGAAGTATTGACACCTAAAACATTCTTCTAATTTCAGATAAATTTTCAGTATAACTTAAATCTTCCGGGGTTTTGGGGTTTTGGGGTTTTGGGG